CTGGGAATGAACTGGGATGGACTGGGATGAACTGGGAATGAACTGGGAGGGGATTGGAATGGACTGGGATGGACTGGGATTGGAGATACACAGAAGTGGGATGGACTGGGATGGACTGGGATGAACTGGGATGGACTGGGAGGAGATTGGAATGGACTGGGATTAGAGATATGGGGAACCAGAATGGACTGGGAGGGACTGGGAATGAACTGGGATGGACTGGGATGGACTGGGAATGAAGGGGGATGAAGTGGGATGAACTGGGAATGCACCGGGAGGGGATTGGAATGGACTGGGATGGACTGGGATGGACTGGGAATGAAGGGGGATGAAGTGGGATGAACTGGGAATGCACCGGGAGGGGATTGGAATGGACTGGGATGGACTGGGATGGACTGGGAATGAAGGGGGATGAAGTGGGATGAACTGGGAATGCACCGGGAGGGGATTGGAATGGACTGGGATGGACTGGGATGGACTGGGAATGAAGGGGGATGAAGTGGGATGAACTGGGAATGCACCGGGAGGGGATTGGAATGGACTGGGATGGACTGGGATGGACTGGGAGGGGATTGGAATGGACTGGGATGGACTGGGATTGGAGATATGAAGAACCAGAATGGACTGGGATGGACTGGGATGGACTGGGAATGAAGTGGGATGAAGTGGGATGAACTGGGAATGAACTGGGAGGGGATTGGAATGGACTGGGATGAACTGGGAGACACTGGGAGGGAACTGGGAACAGGAACTGGGGATAAAGTCAGGGAGGGAAACTGGGACAGGAACTGGGAGGGACTGGGAGGAATGGAGATGGAGCGATAGGGAATTTGGGAGGGACTGGGATAAACTGGGAATGAACTGGGATGGAGTGGGAATGACGGATATGGAATCTGGGAGGGGCTGCGGTGACTGGGATGGACTGGGATGAACTGGGACAGGAACTGGGAGGGACTGGGAATGACGGATACAGGATCTGGGAGGGGCTGCGGTGACTGGGATGGACTGGGATGAACTGGGACAGGAACTGGGAGGGAGGACTGGAAGGGACTGGGATGGACTGGGATGGACTGGGATGAACAGGGCCAAACTGGTCCAAACTGGGCCGTACTGGATCCTCCCCTCCCCCCAGGCGCCTCCGGGCTCTGCGCCCGCCCCGGTTCCGGTTCCGGTTCCGGTTCCGGTTCCGGTCCCGGTTCCGGTTCGGGATCGCTGTCCCCGCTGACGGCCGGGGTGGATCCCTGCAAGGATCCGCCGGGGCTGCTCAGCCCCCAGCTGGGATCACCGGGATCGCCCTCGGGATCGTCGCGATCCTCGGCGTGCCAGGGCGGCAGACCGGGATCCGCCGGATCCGCATCGGGATCAGCTGGAAGTTCGGGATCCTACGGAGGAAATTCGGGATCCTACGGGGGATCAGGATCCTACGGAGGAGATTCAGGATCCTATGGCGGAAATTCAGGATCCTACGGCGGAAATTCGGGATCTTCTGGAAATTCGGGATCCTACGGGGGAAATTCAGGATCCTACGGATCAGGATCCTCTGGAAATTCGGGATCCTACGGGGGATCCAGCCCAGGCTCCTACGGATCTGGATCTGGCCGACCGGGATCTGGATCGGGATCAGGGAGACCGGGATCCGGAAAACCCGGATCGGGCAGGCCCGGATCCCAAGGGGGGAGTGGATCCCAAGGGGGAGGCGGATCCGGCTCCTACGGGGGATCCTCGGGATCCTATGGGGATGACGTGGGATCCTACGGAGGGTCGGGATCCTACGGGGGATCCTCGGGATCCCAGGGCAGGCCGGGATCCTATGGAGGAGTGGGATCTTATGGGGGATCCTCGGGATCCTACGGGGGATCCCAGGGCAGGCCCGGATCCTACGGGGGCGGTCCAGGATCCTATGGGGGATTGGGATCCTACGGGGGATCCTCGGGATCCAAGGGCAGACCAGGATCCTATGGGGGATTGGGATCCTACGGGGGATCCTCGGGATCCCAGGGCAGACCAGGATCCTACGGAGGATTGGGATCTTATGGGGGATCCTCGGGATCCTACGGGGGATCCTCGGGATCCAAGGGCAGACCAGGATCCTATGGGGGATTGGGATCCTCTGGGGGATCCTATGGGGGATCTTCAGGATCTTATGGGGGATCAGGATCTCAGGGCAGGCCAGGATCCTACGGGGGTGGTCCAGGATCCTATGGGGGATCGGGATCCTATGGAGGGTCAGGATCCCAGGGCAGGCCAGGATCTTATGGAGGATCCTCGGGATCCCAGGGCAGACCGGGATCCTACGGGGGAATGGGATCCTATGGGGGATCCTCGGGATCCTATGGGGGATCCTCAGGATCCTATGGAGGCAGACCGGGATCCTATGGGGGATCCTCGGGATCCTATGGGGGAATGGGATCCTACGGGGGTGGATCGGGATCCTATGGAGGGTCGGGATCCCAGGGCAGACCGGGAGCCTACGGGGGAGGGCCGGGATCCTATGGGGGAATGGGATCTTATGGGGGATCCTCAGGATCTTATGGGGGATCGGGATCTTATGGAGGCAGACCAGGATCCTATGGGGGAGGTCCGGGATCCTATGGAGGGTTGGGATCCTATGGGGGATCGGGATCCTCTGGAGAAGATTCGGGATCCTCTGGAGGCTCTGGATCCTTCGGGGGACCGGGCTCCTACGGGGGGGACTCTGGATCCCTGGGGGGATCCTTCGGGGGATCCCGGCAGCGCCCCGGCTACAAGAACCCCGGGATCCCCTTCGTGCCGGGGCTGCACCACCCCGCCCGCCTCGGGGGGCGCTTCCCCATCCGCCGGGGGCCGGGATCCGGCCAGGGATCCGGGCAGGGATCCGGGCAGGGATATGGTCAGGGGTACAGCCAGGGATCCCGTCAGGGGTACAGCCAGGGGTATGGTCAGGGATCCGGTCAGGGATCCGGTCAAGGGTACGGCCAGGGATCCGGCCAGGGATCTGGACAGGGATCTGGACAGGGATCTGGTCAAGGGTATGGTCAGGGCTATGGCCAGGGATCCCGTCAGGGATCTGGACAGGGATCCCGTCAGGGGTCTGGTCAGGGATCCGGTCAGGGATCTGGTCAGGGATCTGGTCAGGGGTACAGCCAGGGGTACGGCCAGGGATCCCGTCAGGGATCTGCCCTGGGATCCGCCATGGGATCCAGCCAGGGATCCGGCCAGGGATCCGGTCAGGGATCCGCCCTGGGGTCTGCCATGGGATCCGGTCAGGGATCCGGTCAGGGATCCGCGTCACCGCCCGAGCCGGGATCCAGCTCCGGGGGCGGGGATGGCTGCGGGGGGTGCCGGAAATAGGGGAGGGGTCCCGGTGGATCCCAAAGGATCCCGGAGGGTCCCAAATAAAGTCTTGGATCCATCCCCGGCCTCGCCACTGTCCCCAAATGTGGTGGGGGACACTGGGATGGGGAAACTGGGGGGACTGGGAATACTGGGATGGGAACACTGGGGATACTGGACTGGGAATACTGGGGATACTGGGGGGACTGGGAACACTGGAGGGACTGGTGGGACTGGGATGGGAACACTGGGGATACTGGGGATAATGGGAATGGGAATACTGGGGATACTGGGATGGGGACACTGGGAATCGGGGCACTGGGCATACTGGGAATGAGGTGGGGGCACCCATGGGGATACTGGGAACCCAGGGGATACTGGACTGGGGATACTGGGAATGGGATGGGGACACCCATGGAGACACTGAGGACACTGGGATGGGGATACTGGGAATACTGGGAACACTGGGAATGGGATGGGGATACTGGGAATACTGGGAATACTGGGATGGGGACACTGGGATCACTCTCAGTCCTGTCCCCTCCCCCCCTTCCATGGGCTCCCAGTATAGCCCCGCCCCCAAACCAGTGCTCCCAGTATAGCCCCGCCCCCAAACCAGTGCTCCCAGTCTGGCCCCGCCCCCAAACCAGTGCTCCCAGTCTGGCCCCGCCCCCAAACCAGTGCTCCCAGTCTGGCCCCGCCCCCCCCGGGGATCCCCCTCGCCCCGTGGCCGCCGCTGCCCGTCTGGCCCGGAGGCGACAGCGGCGACAGTCGCGACAGAGGCGGCGATAGCGGCGGCGATAGCGGCGATAGCGGCGATAGAAGCGGCGATAGCCACGATAGCGGCAGCGATAGCCACGATATCGGCGATAGAAGCGGCGATAGAAGCGGCGATAGCCACGATAGCGCCGGCGATAGCCACGATGGCGCCGGCGATAGCCACGATATCGGCGATAGAAGCGGCGATATCGGCGATAGAAGCGGCGATATCGGCGATAGAAGCGGCGACAAGGGCAAGGCCACGCCCCCCGCGACAGCGGGGACAGGGGGGAGGGGCGGCGCCCAGTGACACCCCCGGCTGTCCCCAGGGGGTGGCACCCATGTCGCGACACGCACCCGACGTCCTGCGTCAATAAACGTCCCCAAAAAGTGGCGCCGTCGTCGTGAGACGTCCCCGGGAAGCGCCATCTTTTACCGCCGGGTTTTTGGTCGTTTTCTGACCAGTTTTTCGCCTGTTTTGGGCGGGATTTGCACCAAGTTTTTCACCCGTTTTGTGGCCGATTGTTTGGGCCGTTTTGCGACCGTTTCCAACGATTTTTAACCGCTTTTTCCCGTTTTTCCCCGTTTTCCCGCCCTTTCTCCCCCTCACAGCCGCGTCACCATGGCAACGACGCCGCCGCGCCGTCGCTCGCCAGTGACGTCACGCGGTCCTCCCGCGTCCCACAATCCCCCGCGGCCGTGAGGGGAAAGGGGGGGGTCCTCCAGTATCCCACAATCCCCCGCGGCCGTGAGGGGAAGGGGGGGGGTCCGCCTGTATCCCACAATGCCCCGCGCGCGCCCCCTCCGTGCCTCCCGCCGCCGCCCGCTCGCTGCCCCGGGCCCGAGGCTCAGCCGGTACCGGAGGGGGGGGGGATGGGCACGTCCCCGGGGTGCCTATATCCTCACTCCCAGTCCCTCCCAGTCCCCATAACTCCCCTCCCAGTCCCCCCCAGTGCCCCCCCAGCTGCCCCGCCATGTCCTCCTGCGCCGAGCTGCTGCGCTTCCAGCTGCCGGGCCACGAGGCGGCGGCGCTGCGCTCCATGACGCGCCTGCGGGCCGAGGAGCGCTTCTGCGACGTCACCATCGTGGCGCGCAGCCTGCGCTTCCGCGGCCACCGCGTCATCCTGGCCGCCTGCTCGCCCTTCCTGCGCGACCAGTTCCTGCTGAACCCCGCGGCCGAGCTGCGCGTCTCGCTGGCGCACAGCGCCCGCGTGCTGGCCGACCTGCTGCTCTCCTGCTACACCGGCGCGCTGGAGTTCGCCGGCCGCGACCTGGTCAACTACCTGACGGCCGCCAGCTACCTGCAGATGGAGCACGTGGTGGAGCGCTGCCGCGGCGCCCTGGCCAGGTTCATCCAGCCCTCGCCCGCCGCGCCGGTGCCGCCGCCGAAGCCCGAGGAGGACGAGGAGGACGAGGACGAGGAGGACGCCACGGATGTTTGCATCGTCAAGGTGGAGCCGGCCACGCGGCGGCGCGGCAGGAGGTGGCCGGCGGTGGGCGGCGGCGAGGCGGCGCAAGGGGGGCCGGGGGTGGCCGCGGTGGTGGCCGCCGCGCCGGATAACGCCACGGCGCAGCTGGGGGTGGTCAAGGCGTGCTACAGCCTGGCCGAGGACGCCGAAGGTGAAGGTTTGGTCATCTTCCCCGGCGGCGGCGGCGGCGGCGGCAACAACGCGGCCGGCAACGAGGAGCCGCCGGGCAACCAAGCAGCCGTGGGCACCTCGGCGGCCGCGACGGCCGCGCCGTCGTCGTCGTCCTCGTCGTCCTCGCGGTGCGGGAAGTGCGGGGAGAGCTTCCAGGGCGTGGAGAAGCTGGTGTTCCACATGCGGGCGCAGCACTTCGTGTTCATGTGCCCGCGCTGCGGCAAGCAGTTCAACCACAGCAGCAACCTGAACCGGCACATGAACGTGCACCGCGGCGTGAAGTCGCACGGCTGCGGCGTCTGCGGCAAGAGCTTCACGCAGAAATCCACGCTGCACGACCACCTGAACCTGCACAGCGGCGCCAGGCCCTACCGCTGCTCCTACTGCGACGTCAGGTTCGCCCACAAGCCGGCCATCCGGCGGCACCTGAAGGAGCAGCACGGCAAAACCACGGCGCAGAACGTTCTGGAAGCCGGCGGCAGCGAGGGGGGAGTGGTGATGCGTTGATGTTGGGGAGGGGGAGGGCCCGGCGTGGTCTAAATGGTGGGGAGTGACCACTGGACACCTGGACCCCACTGGACATTGAGGGGTGACCACTGGGATGGCGGCAAGGAGGCCAAAGTGACCACAAAGTGACCACGGAGTGACCCCAAAGTGGCTCAAAGTGACCCCAAATGGTGGGGAGTGACCACTGGACCCTGCCGGACATTGAGGGGTGACCACTGGGGTGGTGGCAAGGAGGCCGAAGTGACCACAGAGCGACCTCAAAGTGGTCAGAAACGACCCCAAAATGGTGGGAAAGGACCCCAAAAGTGACCCCAAAGTGGGGGGGAGTGACCCCAAAGTGACCCCAACGTGGGGACGAGTGACCCCTGGACACCTGGACCCCGCTGGGGCGGAGGGGACTGACCCCAAAACGCTGGGAAATGACCCCAAACTGCTGTGGAACGACCCCAGAAAGACGAGGAACCGCCCCAAAAATAATTAAGAATGACCCCAAAAAAAAATGGGTGACAAATTTTGGGGTCCCCGTTTAAAATCCAGCTGGAGAAAACAAAACCCCAAAGTTTTATGCAAAAAATCTGAGAAAAAAATTCTGATTTTTGGGGGGGCTTCCCCCAAATTTGGCCCCTCTGGGTAAATTTGGGGGTCCCAAGGCCTTGGTGGAAAATTTGGGGGATTTTTTGGGGGTCCCCTCCAAATTTTTGGGGGAGTCCCCCCAATTATTTTGGGTTTCCTCCTGATTTTAAGAGTCCCCCTGAATTTTTGGGGTCCCCCCCAAATTTTTGGGGGGG